AAATGAGGTCTGTATCAATGGCTCTATCTCTGCCTTTGCCCTTGCATGCTTCTATTCCTAGAGTCATTTTATCTGGATGTATGCTACCTCTACATCTTGTTGCTACTATGCTTTTTCTTAAGTTCGATCTGTGTCTACCGTCAACATGTTTGATCAAGTAATTGCTAGGCGGTTTGTAGATTACCAACTTGTCATCTGGGGTTTTGAATATATTTAGTCATTGAAAGCTGAATATGTGGTATATATATAACTTCTGATAGTTCTAACTATTCTAGTTGGTTAAGTTGAGTGTTTTAAGAGAGTATTTTTACACATGAATGAAGAAGCAAATAATGGGTGTAGGGACAAGTTAAAGAAAGATGTGAGAGTGATGCTACAAGAGGAGGTGGATGAGGATCAACTCGAGCTCATTGATCCCTTGGCAAAACTTGGATTATCTTACCATTTTGAAGATGAAATAAAGAAATCTTTGGACAGAATATACAGCAAGAATCATGGAAATTATGGGCGCAAGAAAGATAGTCTATATACTACAGCTCTTGAATTCAGAATCCTAAGACACCATGGGTATAATGTACCTCAAGGTATGTTCTAGTTTCTATGCTATAAATATGTCAAAGAATATATAATAAACTACTCTTGATTACCTTTTTTCTTTTTTCTTTTTCTCTTTGTAGAGATTTTCAATGGTTTTAGAGATAAGAGTGGAAACTTTAAAGCTTGCCTCGGGAGGATTACAAGGGAATGCTATATCTATATGAAGCCTCATTCCATTCAGTGGAAGGTAAAAGCATATTGGATGCTGCAAAAGCTTTTGCGTCCATGCATCTCAAAGAATATATTAAGCTTAAACACGGCAAAATATGTATCTTTCCACACTAGTGAGTCATGCCTTGGAGCTTCCGCTTCATTGGAGGATGCCTAGGATGAAAGCAAGATGGTTCATGGAATTTTATCAACAAACATGCTTCAAGGTAATTAGGGCAACCATATTTGGTGACAATTCAAAATCTTGACATGGTATTTGATTTCGATTTTATCACCATTTTCTACAAAATTGCTCAAATTGATAATGACGTCTAGTCATATATTCTAGGTGGTGGAAGAGAACAGGTCTTGGGGAGAAGTTAGGATACATCAGAGACAGGTTGGTGGAGAATTTCTT